CTTCAAAATATGTGAAGCAAACCCTGGTACAGCTGAAAGAGAAAGACAAAAGCCACAACAGTAAAGGAGGAATTCAACACGCTCCAATCGGTTATTGCTGGTACTAGACCAAAAATCAGCAAAATATAGAACTGAACCGCAGCATCAATCAACCTGATCTCCATGACATTTATGGACCAGTCCGCCCAAGAACAACAGAATACACATTTTTTTTTCAAGTATCCAAGGACATTCACCTACAAGCATAATATACTGGCTCATGACGCAAACATTCACAAATTAAAAACAAATTGAAATTGTACAAGGTATACGCTCTGACCAAAGCAAAATAAACTAAAATTCAACAGACAACAGAAAAAATGAACAAACCAAAACCTCCAAACACTTGTAAAGTAAATAACAGACTTTAAAAAAACAAACAGGAAGCCTTAAAGGAAAATTTAAAAATACATATATCTGTAATGAACATGAAAACTCACCATATTGTTGTGAGATACAGCTAAGCAGTGTCGAGAGGGAAATTTTAGTACTAAAATGCTTACAGTAGAAAAAGGAATGGTCACGTATTGATAATATAAGTTTTTTCCTCAACAAATTAGAAAAAGAAGAGCAAAATAAACCCAAAGCAAGGTATAAGGGAGAAAAGAATAAGAGCAAAACACTACAAAGTTGAAAATAAGAAAACAGTAAAGAAAATCAAAGCAAGAAAAAGCTGGTTCTTTGATATGTGCAATAAACTGAAAAATCTCTAGCAAGACCGACAAAGAAGGGACGACATACCTCATCAGTGTCGGAAGTGAACCAGCATATCACTACAGCTGCTGTAGCCATTAAAAGGGTATGAGGACTGCAAGAAAATACATGCCAAAATGCCACTGAGATGAAATAGACCAATTACTTAAACACACACCACCAAAGCCATACATAGGGAACAGATAAACAAAATATTTCTATAACCATTAAATAAATTGAATTGGCAATTTAAAACCTCCCACGTACACACTCACATACACACACAAAATCCCCAGGTCCAGTGATTTCACTGGAGAATTTTACCACACATCTTAAGCATTAACAAGTATTTTATACAATATCTTCCAGAAAAACAAAAGAAGAGGTAATCTTTCTCAGTGTATTTAATGAGGCCAGTATTACTACTCCAAAAATTAGACAAAGTCAGTACAAAAATAGAAAAATCATAGATCAATATTTCTCAGGAACTTTGACCAAAAAAATCCTCAAGAAATTATTAGCACATCAAAGCCAGGCATGAATAAAAGAATCATACACCAGGACCAAGCTGTGGGGTTTTTAGGTTTGAAAGGTATTTTCTAGGTATTGTTTCAATATTTGAAAATCAGTCAGTGCAATCCACTATATCAACACACTAAAAAAGAAAAATCATATGATCATATCAGCGGATGCAGAAAAGGCAACCGATACAATTAAATACACACCTCCCCTCATGGGGCAGAAAAACAAACAAATTCTTAGCAATCTAAAAATAGTGAATTTCCACAACTTTATAAAGAGTATATTAAAAAAACCCTTACATCTAATGTTATCCTTATGGTGAATGACTGAATACTTTATCCCTACAATTGGGAAAATTGTGAGGATGTCTGCCATCAGTATGGTTATCTGACAGAGTACCGGTAGTTGTAACAAGCACAGTAAGGTAAAGCAAAGAGATAAAAAGTATACAGATGGAAAAAGAAGAAAACAGAAGGCCATATTTGTAAAAGACCTGACTATGGAAAAATTCTCAAGGAATCTATCAGAAAAAAAAAATAACAAACCCTCATAGAATTAATATGTGACTTCATCGAGGTTGTAAGGATATAGGATTGACACAAACAAATGAGAGTTGTATTTCTAGATAACAAAAACATATGTAAACGGAAATTAAAATAGAGTACCATTTACAATTGCTCCAAAGAAAATGAAATACTTTGGTATAAACCTAAAAACATATCTACAGGATCTGAATGCTAAAATTACAAAATGCTAATGAACGACATTTAAAAAAAGACCAAACAAATGGAGATTCTTACTGCATTCACGGTTGGAAGAATCAACAGAATAAAGATGCCTATTCTCCCCAAATTCATCTGTAGGTTTAACAGTGTCTATCACGATGCTAGCAAGGTTGTTTGCACACAAAGGATAGTTTAGTCTAAAATTTATATGAAAAAGAAAAATATCTAGAATAGTGTAAAAATCTTGAACAAGAATAAAGCGGAAGGAATCACTCTAGTCAACATAAATGCTGAATATGCAGGCAAACTGAAGAAGCAGCAGGATACTGGCAGAAGGAGAGTCACATGGAAGATCTGCACAGAATAAAGAACCCAGGAATATATCCGCATCAATATGACCCCGCCCCCGACTTTTTGACAAAGGTGCAAAAGCAACTCAATGCAGAAGAACAACCCTTTCTAGAAATAGTGTTGGAACAATTCCACATCCCTGGTCAAGTGAGTGAACCTTGATCCAAATCTCACACTTCATACAAAATCACCTCAGGTGAACACACCATTAAATGTAAATAAAACTATAACACTTTTAGAAAATAAAAATACACAGAATCTTCAGGAACTCTAGGGCAACATAGATTTCTTAGGTTTGAGAGCCAAATTACCATTCATAAAGGAAAAGTTGATAAATTAACTCTCGTCAAAATGGAGAAATTCTGCTCGATCAGAGACCTTATGATGAGGATGAAAGGGCAAATTACAGACTGGGAGCAAACATCTGCAAACCGCATATCTGGTAAAGGACCTATAATTAGAATATATAAACTCCTCAAAGGTCAGCAGTGAAAAACCAACCAACGAGAAAAGTCCAACGAGAAAATGGGCAAAAGACATTAACAGATATTTCACAAAAAGTGACAAACAAGCTCATGAAACTATAATCAACATCACTAGTCATCAGAGAAATGCCAGTCAAAATTACATGAGATAAAGTACACATCTATCACAATGGCTAAAATAAAATTGTAAAATTTAAATAGCAAACAAAATGGCAAGAATGCAGATACTCTTTTCTCTCTCATTCACTGTCAGCAGAAAGTTAAAATGGTACAGCCACTCTGGAGAAAAGATTGGTAATTTCTCTCAAAAGTGAATATACACTCACCATATGATCTGGCAATGATATTCCTGGGTATGTATCCCAAAGAAATAAAACTGCACACCTACACAATTGTACATGAACGTTCACAGAAGCATTCTTTTCAATCGCTTAAAATCGGAAGAGCCAAACTCTCAGTTGGTGAAGTATGAGAAAAACTAAACCTGGTGTTTCTTTGTGGAAAGTAGCTGTTGAGGAATTCAACTTTTAAAAATAGATTTCAAGGGACTGAGATTTTCTATTACTTCTCTCAATCCTAAGTTGTACTTTTCAAGGAAGCTGTCCATTTCATCTAAATCATCAAATTTATTGGCATAAAGCTGTCACAATTCTCCAAGATATCATTTTATCTTCTGTATGACTAGCAATATCTCCTTTCACCGCTAATATTGGTGGAATTTGTTTCTGATCTAGATAAGTCATACTGGGGGTTATTAATTTTATTAGTCCTTTGAAACAACTAAATTCAGAGCTTTAATGATTCCATTCTTTCTCCTTTTTCTCTCTCATTGATTTCTGAACTTATCGCATTCTTTCCTTCCACGGCTATGGCTTAACCCTTTACAGAGCATCACAGTTTGTGTCAGAAGGCAATTAATTTAATGGTAACCATCCACAATTGTCTCCGCGCTGTGTTTTAGGCTTTGAGGTGGGGAATGGGGGTGACCAAGAGTGTCTCTTACTCTAGAGCTTGATCCTTCCTTCAGACACTCAGCCTTTCTGTCTCAGCTGAACGTCTGGGTTTTAGCAAGGTCACTTTACACTGCCTGCGCTGAAAATCCAACATCTCCCAACACTGTTCCGTCGGTTAGTATTATCTCCATTTCACTCTCGACCCTTCAGTAGAGTCTTACCCACCAAACATGCTGTCTAATCCTCAGTCAGGGAACAAAGGACAACTCCCCTTCTCTGAAAAAATGTACATCAACACAGAGTCCCTTTTTTCTCTGGTCCTGGGTCCTGCAAGTTCCAGCTGCTTCAGCAGCCCAAACTCTTAAAAACTCTTAAAATCCAAATTCTTAAAGAGTCCTGTTTGCTTCCACCCTTGTGCTATAGTTAAGACGTTATTTCCAGTCAGAGGGCCAAGTTCAGTGTGAGGTTCGCCTTCCATGTTTTCCTTCTGTCAGAGAGAGAGGTCCTGATTTTTTTTTTTTAATTGTCAAATGTCTGAAAACAAGTGTCTCATGGATTTTGTCCTGCTTTCTACTTGTAGATGGTGAGAAAGACAAATGTTGTATGAGTTACCATATTTTAAATTTCATTCTCTCTCAACTGCAACACAGCAACAGAATCTGACCAATCACTAGCATTTGCCTCTTCCCCATCATCTATTCTGGCAAATTACGTATCTTAGACTAAAGCCAACTTTCTCACATACTTTTAAGCATTTCTTGACTCTTACCTGCATTTTGGGATAGAATTCAAATTCCTGTGTTTTTCATGTAAACCTATTCAGATTCTGTACTCAAATTGCTTTTGCAACTTCACTTTCCTGTGCTCTTTCTGTAAAGTGGTTTCCACTGTTCCCTCCACTGCTCAGGTCCTATGGTACCTCCATCAAAACTTCTCCCTGTGTTCAGTGGCTTCTTAGTTCCTTTCCCCACTTTTTTCCCCCTCTCAAACTCCTACTCCTACTTCCACAGAGTGTAAATGACCTTTTCAGGTAAGTGATTCCTGAGTTCCAAGTTTTAAAGGTAGTCATTCTATTCTATATGCTTTCAGAGCAATTGCCACATTACGTTTGGGTTTGTGATCAATCTGTTTGCCCAGTAATTCAGCCGAGTATAAAGCATTCTTCTTCTTCCCACCAATGGCACGTTCACCACATAACAATAAAAATCTACACAACATAAAGTAAAACTTACCTTTACAAATGAAGAATCTGGATACAATATCCCTGACTTGTTGTATGAATACACCAGGAAATGAGAGTCTAAAAATGACCTAATTCAACCAAAATAATAATACTTCATTGTAATAATAGCATTAGTAAAAGTAACTTCCAGAGTCATGAAATTAAACAAACTTACATTTCATTTTATAAGCTCAAATACGCAAAAATTAAATGGGCTCATCTCTCCGTTATCTAGCTTTCTTTCTGATAGCGCATTATGTATATAAGAGAAAGCAAGAACCAGGATGACCGGATACCAGTGTGGGCACTGGAATGACACAGATTGCTGTCTAGTAAAATCCAGGACTTCCAGATTCCCTCAACAAAATTTTCTTTTATAGATTCAACCATCAATACATCTCATGGAGTAAATCTCTTAGTTAAAGTTTGCTAATAAGTAGCCATGGATTGATAAAAAACAATCAAAAAAATACATGCTTATTTCATTAGCTTGTTTCTGTGAAGTTATGCTGTGCTACAAAGCATCCTCCAAATTCCCAGTGCCTTAAAATTACAATGAATGTTCTTCACAAGGTTACTGCAGGTTCAGCTCCACATTGCCTTCATTCTGGAACCTAGGAAACGGCATGGTCCCTCCACGGAACATGCTTTTCTCGTAGCAGAAGGAGAAAAATTGTAGAAGCACACGATAGATCTTAAAGCCTTTGTTTAGAAGCGGGATTCTAGTCTTTTGCTCAAATTTCATACGTTATTTCTATAGAAAAACGTGACATAAACAGGGTATGGAACTAAAATCTTCTTACAAGGAGGATGGTGATTATCATGGAACAATCTAACATCGTTATTTACTGTAGGGATGAGACAGGCTGGGACCCGGGACCCTTTACTGGAGCGCTTGGCCTGGACACAGGTCTCCTCGAGCAACAGAAGACAGAGGGACTCTAAGGGACTAAAACTAACTGCCTGCATGTGCAGTCTGGGTAATTATGAACAATAAGGCCACAAACCGACTGCCACTCCGGAGGTGCCAGGAGCAAAAGCAGGGTACTTACTGCGCATGATCCCTGCACACAGCACCACCAGGCGAGTGGGCAGACCACCAATCTGCCCCTACCTTCACCCCATTTAAGGATCCAGCCCACCTTCCTCGGAGAGTGAGCCAGGGAACCTGTCACTTGTTTTCACTCCCTCCTGCTGCAGCACGAGCCTCAACAAAGCCTTGCCTGAATTCCTTCTCTGGCCACTTATCAATTTCTATTGATTAAAGAGTCCAAGAACCCTAGTCCATAACAGTGACACTGGGATTTCTCATGGATTCCAAACATCAAGAAGGTGTGAAGGCCAGAATGGAAGAGAAACTAGAGCATTAACAGAGTACTTTTTTCACCACTACTTTTTTTCACCACTACTTTTCTTATCTCCTTCATGTCCTCTCATTCTTTTTTAAAAATTTTTAGTGAAGTATAGTTGATTTGCAATGTTGTGTTAGTTTCAGGTGTACAGCAAAGTGATTCAGTCATATATATATACATATATATATATATGCACACACACATACATATATTCTTTTTCAGATTCTTTTATCATACTAAGAAAAGTAAGTTGGACAGACAAATATCCTATGATATCACTTATATGTAGAATCTAAAAAAAATGATACAAATGATCTCCTTTATAAAACAGAAATAGACTCACAGACATAGAAAACAAACTTACGGTTACCAAAGGGGAAAGGAGGGGAGGGATAAATTAGGAGTTTGGACTAAACAGGTACACAATACTGTATGCAAAACAGATAAACAACAAGGACCTGCTGTATAGCACAGGGAACTATATTCAATATCCTGTAATAATCTATTTCCTCTCCTTCTTGAAAACTTTTCCTTTTCTTCAATTCAAATAACAAAACCAGAGAGGTTCCTGGAGAAAAACTGGTATCTGTCAGTTTATATTCCACATATATTTAAGGAAAAACTGCATGGACTGGGTTGGTTTAGGTGAAAGCATCTAGAACGTGAATTCTGAAACACGGGCAGAGCCACCTTTTAATAACTGTAAGCATTTAAATGGAGGTGGTGGAAATGGGAATCCAGAAGTAGTTCCCAGGAAAAAGAAATTAGAGATTAAAAACCTTAACAGATATTTGACAAGCATTATTAAAAGGATAAAAATTTTGTTTGCGAGTTTATTCATCCTGGGCCCTTTTTCAAAGGCATACTTTTGGCTTCTGTATGAAACAACAAAACAGTCTGCCTTAATCAGTGACATAACAAAAATACAAATGAGCACTGAAAGAAAAACAATGTCCAATGAAAGGAAAATGAACAATAAAAAGCATGCAAAACTTAAAAGTTAGTTCCAAATGAAGTAGCATTGATGAACAAAATAATCTTAATTTCAAGAGAAATGAATAAGCATTCCAAGGAGATCATTCCAAGAGAAAAAAGTATACTCTGAAACTAAAACACATGACAGTTAATATTAAATAACTTAATAAATGTATCGAAGAGAATTTGCTTACTGTGAACAGAATTATAGGTCTAGCCAACAGAAAACAAATGCTGGTAAAATGCATGTCAAAAATAAAGATTTGATCATAGTTGTAGAAAAAACTATGATATGGAACACAGACAAGTAAGACCCAGGATGAAAGCAATGATTTCCCATAGAAGAAAAAAAAATGCGTAGGGACTGAAAATTAAAATGAAAAATTTAGGGACTTGGGATATATTAGGGAGTATTAATGTAATACACACACACACACACACACACACACAAACTCACACTCACCCACATACAGAAATTGCTGGAAAACTCACTTCACACAGACTATATCAAATTGCAAAAATTTATAGAAAAGAAATATGACTCACAAATTCTACACATTGCCAAATGTCATTCAGTTATGAGAACAAGAAAGACATCTGCAGACATGCACCGATTCGGGAAGCATGCCACCTGCAGATTCCATCTGAAGAAAATAATCTGAAGTTATTCTAACTAAACGATACCTGAGTCAGCATAAAGCTGCAATTAAAAAAAAAAGTAAAAAGAAGCTTTGAAGAAAGTTGGAAAATGCAATACTGTTGTTAAAGAAACTGAAAGCTATGAATTTACATCTTAAGTGGAAAAAGAATTTTAAGAAATACTATACGAATGTGATGCTATCACTTCTAACAGACACAAGAGAGGAATCTGAGAACCTAGGATAGAAAATATGAATATAATGATTATATGAAAATTTCATTTTTATACCAATAAATCCCAAAAACAAAGGAAGAAGACAATCAATAGTGTAGGTGGCGTAACCGCAACCTATAGAGGAGATAAAGTGTTAATATCTACAGAAAACAAAACTTCCCACGATAGATCATGGAACAAAACCCAGAAAAACAGAAAGATAAAGCCATAGGTTGAAAATAAATAACTCAAAACAAATGAATAAAAAATAACGACCGCCCCGCCCCCGGCAAAAAAAAAAAACAAACCCAAAATCTCAGGAAAAGCAAATCAATGAGAACGGTCAGTAAACACTGGAAAAGATACTACGTGTTATTAATAACCAGTGAAGTGCATATTAAAACAACAATAAAACAGCATTTGTCATCCACTAATTAACAAAAATAAGTGTGTGAAGATATTCATTTTGTCGAGAATGTGGAGAACAGAAACACTTTTAAGCTATTGGCATGAGTAAAAATTGGTTATAAGGCTTTTGAAGAAAAAAACTGGCATTATATAGCACTTGAGAAATTTCTTATTTATAATCCATCAATTTCACTGGGGCCCAGGAAGTCATGGTCAAGGATGTCCATGATAGAGCTGTTCTTGCTATAAATATGGAAGGATAAATAATTAATGGAGTATATTCATTTTATGGCTACATATGCATTTTAAAAAACAAACCCGTTTTGCACACATCATTATGAATGAATCTCAACAAATAATATTATGCAAAATGTTGCACAACGAACACTAATAAGTGTAAGGCCAACTGGCCCGAGGCAGGGGAACACAATCAGATTCACAGGTTGCATCAGACCGAAATTCTCCGGACCACCCAGTTCCAGAAACTGCCCTGGAGACATTCCGGACCACCCAGTTCCAGGAACTGACCTGGGACTTTGAACGCAGCCCAGCCTTCCCGCCTTTCGAGGGGCGGGACTAACGGTCCCCCAGGATACCCGAAAAGACCACCAAATAAGGAATACCCTGCGCCCTCCCAGATTCACCACACCCCTTTCCCTTCTTCCCCTATAAAATCTTGCCCAACCCTCGCCCGGGTGCGACTTCTCTGGCCCCTTTCTCTCGGACCAGTGAACCAGTGAACCAGTGAACCTCGCCCGGGAGCGCTCCCTAATAAAGCTCACTTGAAGCTTTCCTCTGTTTCGCGGTGCCGTTTGTTAAGATCCAACCTTACAATAAGTACCTATTGCTCACACTTGTGGGTCATGTGTGGGTAGCCATGGCAGCTCTGCTAATTGTGGCCAGTCTTGCTCAGTGGTACAGGATTCAGCTGAATGTTGGCTGCTGTAGGGATAAATAGAGCACCTTGGCTGTGATCCACATGTCTTTAATCGTCCAGCAAGCTAAGCCCGAGCATATTCTCATGGGGATGACAGACAAACAAGATGGAAAGCAGAAAAGCGTGACAGCTTTTTCAAGCCTGTGTTGGAATCAAGGCAGCCAACATCTCTCTGGCCAAAGTAAGTGACATAGCCCCAAACTGGGCTAGTAATTTGCCAGGCCCCCAAAGTAAAATGAAAATGCGGGGCCTCTCATTCAAAAGTTTTTAAGAATCTCAGGATAGCATCAGAAGAGCATGAATCCAAGCACAGAGCCCTTCTAACCTTGGGCTCTTCACACCCATGAAGAATGAGTGTGAGGTAGTTGTTGAGCTGATACACTCCACCTCTTGATGAGAGAACCTCAAAGTTATATGGCAAAGAGTGCAAATACAGGGAAAGGTAAAGAACTGGGGTCACTTTTGTGATTCACCATGTTAAGGTCCACCCTTACCTACCCTTCTGATCCACCATAACAAATTGTATAATGGAATATACACTCTTGTTCCATTCGTGTCTATTTG